AATAATTTCTTCCAGGAGCTCAAATTTAAACAGGCTTTGGAAAAATTTCATCTGATGATATTACTTGCAGTTGTGTTGCTGGAACTTTAAATGACCAAGAACATCAGCATGCAGTTGCTGCTAGTGTGAACTAGAAAAAACTGCAGTCCCAAGCAGCTGCAGTGAAGGTTGTCCCTGCTACAGGTCACATTCTACTGCCACTTCATGCAGTCCCGTGCACTTCAATACGGAGTTGCTTGTGACAGAGTGATGGGAGAACTTGGCCTTGTGAATATTAAGCCTATTGTGAAAGATGTTTTAAAGAATGATGCACAAATTATGCTAGGGAGAAAGGTCTTAATGGCCCTTTCTGTATGGGAGAAGGTATTAATTGCTGACTACAGCTATAGCTGAGCATGGTTTCAGAAACAATGTGTACATAACTCCTTTAATATAGCTAGATTTGTAATACAGGTACTCCTCACTTAATGTCGTCCCAGTTAATGTTGTTTTGTTATTACATCACTGATCTATTAGAGAACATGATTGTTTAAAGTTGTGCAATGTTCAGTTATAAGAGAGTGGTGGTGGACGGGTCATTTTCAACCTGGAGGGATGTGGACAGTGGAGTTCCCCAGGGCTCAGTCCTTGGGCCTGTGCTATTCAACATCTTAATCAGCGACTTGGAGGTGGGCGTGGAAAGCACGCTGTCCAAATTCGCTGATGACACAAAGATGTGGGGAGAAGCGGGCACACTGGAGGGGAGGGACACAATCCAGCTAGATCTAGACAGGTTACAGAGGTGGGCGGATGAGACTAGGATAGAATTTAACGCAGGTACTGCATCTAGGGAGAAGGAACCAGCAACATACCTATAGGCTGGGGAACACCCTGCTTAACAACACAGTGGCTGAAAGGGATCTTGGAGTCATTGTTGACTCAGGATGGACATGAGCCACCAATGCGAGGAAGCTGTCAGTAAGGCTCACCGCACCTTGTCGTGCACCTACAGATGCATCACAAGCAGGTCCAGGGAGGTGATCCTTCCCCTCTGTGCGGCACTGGTCAGATCACGGTTGGAGTACTGCGTTCAGCTCTGGGCGCTGCACTTCAGGAGGGATGTGGCTAGCATTGAGAGGGTCCAGAGGAGGGCCACTCGCATGGTCAGGGGGCAGCAGGCCAGGCCCTATGAAGATGGACTAAGGGGCCTGAATCTATTCTGCCTCCACAAGAGAAGTCTCAGGAGATCTGGTGGCTGTCTATAAACTCGCCAGGGGGGACCAGTGGAAAATAGGTGAGGCTCTGTTCCCCCAGGCACCACCTGGGATAACAAGGAATAACAGCCACAAATTGATTGAGAGCAGGTTCAGGCTTGATATCAGGAGGCATTACTTCAGTTAGGGCTGTCAGGCTCTGGAATGGGCTCCCTAGGGAGGTGGTGCTCTCCCCTACCCTGGGGGGGTTCTTCAAGGAGGCTGGATAGATATCTGGCTGGGGTATTATGATCCCAGCCCTCGTTCCTGCCCAGGGCAGGGGGTCAGACTTCATGATCTGTTCAGGCCCCTTCCGACCCTAGAAACTATGAAACTGAAACTATGATTAACGTTGTTTGGCCACTGCCTGCTAGTAGGTAACTACTGTGACGTAATTGGACTTGCGACTTTAAGCGAAACAACGTTAAGCATTTTTCAAGAACGTAACTATGACGTTAAACGAGGAGTAGCTGTACAACTGGAACCTGCTATTTGCCCAAGGTCTCAGAATACCTGACAGGCTTTTGACTTTTTATTCTCACCTGCAACCATGAGGTCATATTGCATATATAAAGTATGCAAATAGCAAACTTTATTTTTTTTTAAATGTAATTCTGTTTAAATGAATTAAATACAGCTTCTGCTGTTGGCTAGAATTTAACCAACTTTAACCAATAAAAAATGAGACTTAACTGATAGCTTTAACTCTCGCAAGAAAAATCAACTTCATATAATCTTTACTATGGTTTGATAAGCCAACATGCTCTAACTCCAGTGGCCAAAGTTTGGTAAAATTTATATTGATATTAACTGTTAATTTTCAAAATATGAGTGTCCTAATCATATACTTACACTGTAGCAGTATTTTTGTGGTTGCATTGGTAGCTTGTGAATTCGTTCCTACTAGTAGAGTTCCCCATGTTGCATTTCAACATTGGTTAGAGAGTTAAACTGCTTTAAAAATTAAAACTTTCTTGCGCTAAAATGCATTGAGGGTTTGAATGGAAATAACCAACAGTCTAAATTCCTATAATCTTTTACATACTCTGTGACAGGTAAGAAAATATCACCAATTAAATTTCTTCTAAGAAAAGTCAAACACCTAGCACTGGAGTGTTCATTGGTTAAGACTTTTACAAGGACCTGACTTTCAGCAAGTTGATTTTAAAATTCGTTTACTCTTCTTTATCTCCTTCATTCCCAGATAATGAATGTGAAAACATTTCACACCCTAGGTGTTTTGCAGGCTTAAATGCTAGATTCATAGATGTTAGGGTCGGAAGGGACCTCAATAGATCATCGAGTCCGACCCCCTGCATAAGCAGGAAAGA